GGTAAAATAATTAACAATAATAAAATAAAACAATATAACAGTTTAAGAAACTAGATTATATTTAGGCATCTCCCTCCCTTTTGTAAAACCTATTTGACTCCTATGTCAACCTAAGGAGTCTAATTCAAGACAGTCAAAAAAAGGCTCAGTTATATTAAAGGTTTTTCTTTTCTTTTACAAGGCCTAAGATGATATGAACATTTCTCACTATGGAAAAAAGCCATCTGAGTGTAAAAAATACTTTGGTAAGGCCCCCACATCTCCCTGAAAGCTTCTTAAATGTTACCTTACCTTACCTTATAGGTTTTCCAACTCTGAGGTTATCTGCATGTTATTTCTCATATATATCAGAAAGTTCTATATCTCAAATGAGAACTGCATGCAAATGGCTATCAGACAATGAGTTGATACAGAGAGGATAACATGCCTAGTGGTGAGTATAAGGAGATGATAGAAAGTCATAATTGTAATGTTCTTTTAATGTGATACACAGTGAGGACAATGACTCACTTGGTCTGTTGGGTTTAGGATGATTTTTTTTCAAACATTAGCAAAATCCAAGTGCATTTTTACTAGAATTTGACATTCACATGTATATTTTTTAACTTGAGCAAGGATGTCACATGAGCGCTTGCGTGCACATGCCTACTTGCACGGGCAGGCATGTACACATGTGGTCATAGCATCATTACTAAAAGGAACCGTAAAAATCTTTATACATATATATAAATGGAAACTTGTTTAGTAATTCCTCTCAGGCTCCCAAACCCCTTCTTAAAGTATTTTTTTACCTCAGGATATTTAATCATGTGACAGCCACGACCTTTAAAACTCGGTAAAAAACACATCAATATTCCGAGGCAAGCCATACGCGTGTCTCCATTAATTTGGGGTGTCAAAGAACATGACATGAATGCAGGTAACATTCTACAGGCTGCCTAATGTTATACAAGGTCATTCTCTTCAATATCTTATATATATATATGCTTACAATATATAAAGAGATTACATACTGAGACTGGCCACCCATTTACCAGTACCAAAGAGATATTGACAGTAATGATATCTAATTAAAAATATTAATCTTATTTGCTTTGTCTTCCTATTAATTTAAAAAAAATTATTCTACAGTGTGTACGAATAACCATAAAAACTTGATTGCATAGAGGGAAAGTCACTGGCTGTCCAAGATGCACTTAGTTTGTTTTCAAAAAAATAGCTAATTTTTCTCAGCAACCCAACTGTCAAAATTTTTACCATTTTGGTACCTTAGATCTCTACAGTTTTTCTTTTGGATTTTACTCTAAAGACAACTTCAGAACTTTTTTTCAGATCAACAGAAAGCAACATTACATGGGTTCCTAACTTCCTTTCGCGGAACAACTGCTGAAAATTTCTCCAACTTACCAAACTACAATGCAATTAAGCGTCCACCATTTCCAACCCTCAGTATCTCCAAAAAGTGTTTATGCTTGGGTTTTACTTTGAAGGGGACTTCTCACTTCCCGTGCGACTTGCTTCCTTACAACCCTAGAGAGCTAAGTACACACACCCATTCATTCTGACCAGCACCAGTGTTGATCTTTTAGTAACCCTAAACCTCTAAGTATATAAACCCTACAATAATGTAAATTGGCTAACTTTTGTGCTATAAATGGGCCATTATACAATAGTGCCGACATTTTGGGTATAAAAGATTTTGGTACTTAGGCAGAGGGCGCTGGAATAAATGTGTAGCATCAAAGCATTTATTTACGTTGACAATGTTTATTTATATTAATATGCACCTAGGAAAAAAATCCTGAGTAAAATTAATTATTTTCTTCAAAAGAAAAGTAATCAAAACAGAGTCTGTATTTTTACAGCCTTTTAAGAAGTGTGTTTTTGGAGGGAGATGTGAGGTTGCTAATATAGTGAACTGGAGGCTGTGCTAAGTGTAGTATTTGGGGGGGGGGGGGGGGG